CATTAAAGAGTATCGGTCCAAGGACTGAGCCCTGCGGGACCCCACTGCCCACACCCTTCCAGGTCGAAACCAACCCATCCACCACGACTCTCTGGGTGCGACCCTCCAGCCAATTCACCACCCACCGGACTGTGTAGTCATCCAAGTCACAGCCTCTTAACTTGTTCATCAGTATGGGGTAGGATACCGTATCGAAGGCCTTCCTGAAGTCTAAGTATACGACGTCCACCCCTCCTCCTGTGTCCAGGCGTTTCGTAACCTGGTCATAAAAAGAAACTAGATTGGTCAGGCACGATCTGCCTGCCACGAACCCGTGCTGGTTTCCCCTCAGCAGAATTTGTCCTGCCGGGCTCTCGCAAATGTGAGCCTTGATAATTATTTCAAAGACTTTGCCAAGGATGGAGGTGAGACTGACTGGTCTATAGTTGCCCGGGTCCTCCTTCCTCCCCTTTTTGAAAATGGGGACCACGTTGGCCCTTTTCCAGTCCAAACTGATTAGAAAATGTCTGTGATTTACATTATGGGTCTGTGTCCCTCTTGAAGATCAGGGAGATCTTAACTTCTCTTACATAGGAAGATGCACTGGTCAAGACCACAGCGACATGAATCTGGAGCAGTTTGGGATTCAGTTCTGCCAATGGTTTTTCAACCATCAGTCCACCTTCTCCTCCAGCATCATAGCATCTTCTTCCAGGTTGTCCTCTATGCAAAGAAAAAGCTTCTCACCAGCCACAAAAATGCCAGGTTATTCTCCTTCATATGTCATTACAACTCATCCTTACATAACATTCAACAATGGTTAGGCACCCGATGTACTATAAATAGTACTTGTTATGCTAACCATAATGGTTTCATTACTATGTTGCTCCCCTCTGTTGTATTCATCTGTAGTCTCTCTTATACTGAAACCTGTACGCTCTTTAAAGTAAGGAGCGCCTTCTTTTTTTACATGGCCACAATCCCTGAAGGGGGTTTCTAGGACCTATCACTATTCGAATATGAAAGTGTTAAGAAGATTGTGCAAAATTTGACAAAGAATCCACATGGTTCAAGTGCTATAGCCGCTAATAAACTCGATAAATGAACAGTTGCAGAAATTTTAAGTCCTGAATCAAGTACAGAGACAGAATCACAGAGACTGCCCCTTTGTTACAGTTTCAACAAGGCCTAGCACAATGAGATTCTCGCCTCTAGGCATGACTGTAATACAAATCATAGATGATAATAGCTTGCCAAATTTGAATTCACAGCTGTAATAGACTCAGATAATTCCCAGTGGCCTCAAAGTCTTAAAGAGCTGGAATGCTTCCTTTTCTAACTTTCCTGAGTGATATCATACAAATAAAAGAGACTTATGTTATTGCCCATATATTGAAAGAACTGGGTTAAAGACTACCATCAGAGGAAGAAACAGGTAAGGGGAATAGACTCAAATGTGGCACAGTTAAGGAACAAAAAGCAAAACCAAAGAGACCTGATCATTCATTGTCTTCACCTTGTGCAGTCATTTATACCACCACAAGCTAAATGAAAATCAAATCAATCAAAATCAAATCAATCAAAAAGGTAACATGTTACCTGGCGCTAACCTTTTTAAGTACAGAAAGTAAAGGGCAATAAAAAAAACACAGCCTGGAGGAGTTGGCACACACCAGCTGTGATATGTGAACACTAACGCTTTTCAGTATCTTGAATAAGATTTGCACAATACTCCTTTCAACAAGAGAAGAAAATTCTCCTCTGGCAGGACCGACTCTTCCAGGTCATCCCCATATTTAATACCTGAGCACAGAACAGTCCATTTCTGAGGAAGTCAGAGATTGCCAATGGCTGCATCTTCTTTTTTCAACAGGCAGTAAGATACTACGACAGCTGCGCAGAAGGCAGGGGTGGATTGGCATCCAATCCTGTTCAGCAGATGGAAAAAAACAAACTAAGTAAGGTAACTTAAGCAAAAGTGGCCCAATGAATAACCCAACACCCAGACACTCTGTAGGAAGCCCTGCCTGCGTCCAGGGCCAGACACAGGCATGGGTGAACCAGGCAGTCGCCCGGGGCCCAGACAGAAAGAAGACCGGAAAACATTTGGAGGTTTTTTTGTCCAATTCTCATTATTATTATTATCATTATCTCTGGCAAAGGGAGGCTTGATACTAACCATTTGCCTGGAGCTGCTGCCTGCCTGCCCCAGGCTCTGTAGTCATCTGCTTCCCAGCAGACTTTTCTGGAGCTCATCTGTTCACAGGAGTTGAAGGCAGAGAAAAGTGGAGCTGACTTAACCTCTTGTGTGTGCACTGGTCACAGGGAATATATTTGCATTTGATCTTACCCATCTAGGTTGAAGCCACCCCTTTGGTAGTCATTGCCTTTTATTTAGCTATGAATGTGCATTATTCGGGACTCCTTGTCCACTCCCTCACCCTGATCCTGTGCATAGGGATTGCCCCTTACACCTTGCAGAAAACAAGGTTGACCATGTCATCAGTGTGAGAAGGGGCCATTCCCCTGGGGCTTCATCTCTGCTGGGGGGGCATCTCTAGGATCCCGGGCTATCACCATACCACAATCTTGTCTACCCGCAGTCCATGGTCCCAGACCACTGGGCAGTGATGCTGTAGGTCCCAAGCTATGGGCTTTCCTAGAAATTAAAGGGACTTTTACAAGCCTTTTGACAGGTACTGCTGGGGGCAGGGGAGTTATGGATAGCCCTCCATTGCCCCCTCTGTAGAGAGCAGACCTTTGTCGCACTTCAGCCAGGAGGCTGTCTATAGTGCTTTATATTTTTATTGTGCTACAAACTTTGCAGCACAGCAAAAAGTTATGTCTGCCAGGGGCCTTTATCATACAGGCTCTCTTGGCCTATTGCCGAAAATCTAGTTCCCTTTCTGCACTGCTCTCCCACTGAAAGTTGCAACCTACCTGCTTCTTCTCTATCCCAAGAGATTTGGGGTAGCCCACCACTCGCATTGCAATGGAGTCAGGTTCTTTGCCTGCTACCCCTCCTCCCTTCCTCCACCACCATCCCAAACCATAGAGACAGCTGCTTTAGATAAGATAGATAAAATAGGCAGAGACTAACACAGCCAACCACCTCTGCTCAGAGATAGCAGAAGAATTTCCTTCTTTATCAGCTTGGCTCATTCCCACAAATAACCCACAGCACAAACTAATTAAACCTTGGTCTTTGCAATAATCGTTATAACAATAATATAAGAATGACAATAATTGAAAATACTTTGTGGTTTCACTGCAGTTTCCATCAGAGGATCTCAAAGCACTTCACATACTTTAACAAATTAAGCTCTTCAGTGCCCTGATGAGCTAGGTAAGGATGACACATGGGGTCATTTAATTTAATAGTGATCTATACTAATTGTTTAACAAGGTAGCATGGAGCTACACAGCAGCTGATGACCGGAAGGCCTCCTTCCTTGGTTGAATCTGCAGGTGGACTGCAGGGATGCAAAATGCAAGTATGTTTGACTGCATTTAAAACACAATTATTTGTTTGAATTTGGCCAAATGAACCCACTAGACTCCCAAGTGACCACAGAATATCTAGGACCTCACGTCTAGGTCCTAGTACCGGGGTCATGTTTCACTTGTGACTTAAATGTAATAATACCAATAACTAATTCACACACAGCCTTCTTAAACCACCTAAAAGTTCCCTGACCTTAAAGATCTCCCGTTCAAAGACAGACTTACACCTGTCCTCCTCAGTAGAAGAAGTTGCTCTGTAGGACGTGGGACTGGAAAGGACTTCCTGGGTCAGTCATACTGTTACAGGCCACAGTATTACCATATAATCCCTTCATATATTTATCAAACTCCATCTTGCAATTATCTGGGATTTTGGCTCCATTATAACTAATGAGGTAGTTATAATGAACATCAAACCTGTTTCTAATAGCCAGCCTACATTTATTCATGGACAGTTTATATTCCTTAGTTCCTACTTAAACAGCTCTTCTCCCTCCCTGTCATGTACCTCCATGGTGTATTTATAGGAAGCCTTTTTTTTTTGCTAAACTAAACCACAAGATCTTGCCATTCCCCTTATCCTCCTATTCCCGCCTGAATTTATCCTTCTTAAACATGGGTGACCAGAACTGTACGTGCTATTCCACATGAGGTCTTACCACAGTCTTGTATTTTGTATAAACATTTTTTATCTTTACTGGAAGTATCTTATCTGATACATCTGAGAATCACAGTTGCCTTTTTCATGGCTGCATCACACTTCTGGCTTGCAATCCTTTGACTAACCCACTCACATCTTTCCCTTCATTTGCTGTTTAAAACTGTTCTTGTTAGTAGTCTCTAAATGCATGCCTTTGCATCTTGTACCATTGAAGTCCATCTCATTTCTGTCACTCCAGTCCTCAAGATGGCTGGGTTTTTTTCCTCTATGATATTCTGATCTTCAGGGATCCTGGTTTTCTCTGATTTTAAAAAATCCCCAATTTTCAGTTAAAAAAGTAACCCCAAATCCATGTTTTTCAATTATTAAAATGAAACACTACTATATATGTGTGTGTGTGTGTGTGTATAGTGGTGTTCCATTTAAATCACGGAAGAATGTGGATTTGGGTTTACTTTTTTTAACTGAAAATTGGGGATTTTTTTGTAAATCAGAGAAAACCAGGATCCCTGCTGATCTTCAGTATCTGCATTAACAATCTGGCAGATGGGATGCAGTGCACCCTCAGCAAGTTCATGAATGGCACCAAGCTGGGAGGTGTAGTAGATACAGTGGAGGGCAGGGCTAGGATTCAGAGTGATGTAGAGAAACTGGACTATTGAGCCAAAAGGAGTCTCATGAGGTTCAACAAGGAGTGTAAAGTCCTGCACTTCATATGGAGCAATCCCATGCTCCAGCACCAACTGGGGGTGACTGGCTGGGCAGCAGCTCTGCAGAAAAGGACCTGGGGGTAACAGTGGACAATAAGATGGATATGAGTTAGCACTGTGCCCTTGTGGCAAACTAAGGGGTTTGGCAGGGCAATAAGGCTGAAGTCTGTCGGTCACACTGAAATGCTGCCAACTGGGAACCAACACATACAACACAGCTACATTGGTTCAAGTTTTGTTTAAATGAATACACTTCTTTGCTCATAGCGCAGTCCCAGAAGTATATTACTCAGCAGTGAGTCATCAAAGTCAAAGTGATATTTGCACTTTGATTGCAAAGGAACACTTTTTTGCTTGCTTTACCCCCTATTTTTGTTTGCTGCGGTGTCACCTTTTATGGCAGCACCAAAAAAGAGTAATTAGCAACATCCACAGCAGCACTTCTGCCTTACATAACTAAATGATCCTCTGAAGTGTGAGCAGCAGCTCTTACTGAATCACGTGAGTGGGCAGCTGATGAAACTTAAGTTTGCCCTGGTATGGGATGACTTTGTTACTTCAATTAGAAAAGAAAGTTTCACTTTTGCAGCAAAGATTCACCGGGTTTGCCAAACTCTCACATCAGTCACAACTTTGCCACACACATTGGACCAAAATCAGGGCAGATTGAACTCCTCTGAGCTTCGTGGAATCACACCAGGATGAATTTATCCCACTGTGTTATTTATTTTCATGCAATTAATTTTATTATTTAGTCTCTCAGACATTGTAGAAAACTGAACTATCAAAGGGAAGCCAAAACTGTCAGAGAACTACTGAGCTGAACAAAAAAAGACTGGAGACAGCTACGGAGAAACCATGGCAGGCATCCACAGGGAGTCAGCTCCACAGATCAGCTTCCTGAACTGAAAAGGCCCTATTCTCCTGGCTCAATTCAGATGAGACCATGGAAGGAAGAATAAGACAGCCAGCCTGATCTCAGCAGCCTTCAAGAAGAGACAAGTGACAGTCACTCATTTACTTGGAGATGAGCTCATTTTGGCTGTTTTGTACTTGAGGAAAACATGTCCGTTTTATATTGTAACCAGTCTGTGGCACCCAGGACCCCGTGTCATTATAGCGCACACCGTGGCGCTGTGAACTTCCCGGTCGGAGCTGAGAACGTACGTTTTCAAAAGAACGGGCTTCAATCCCATGAACACAAGGGCGGATCTGGAGGCAGGGGGTGCTGCTGCTGTTCGCCTTCTGCTTCCTTCCCCGCTGACTTCAGCCGCACGAGGAAAGATGGGATGAGAGGTGCTGGCACTCACTCCCCAGCTCTGGAGCTGCAGCAAGTTGCTCTGGGCCAGAGTTCACACCAACCAGTTAGGATTGCTGCATGCACGTGCTGCATGCACAAGGCTCTTGTAGCCTGCACTAACTGGGCTGAGCTCAGAGAAGAGCAACAAAGCTGCTCAGAGGTACTGAGAAGCTCCCATATGAGCAGAGACTAAAGATACTAGGCCTTCTCAGTGTAGAAAAGAGATGCTTGAGGGGGGACATCATACGGGTTTACAAAAGACTAAACAGCAAAGAGATTTTCTGTTGACTCTCTCTCCCAATACAAGAACTAGGAGTTACCGAATGAAACTTGTCAGTAGTCAGTTTAAAATTAATACAAGAAAGTGTTTGGGTTTTTTTCATTAAAGCGTGGAACTTGTTGCTACCAGATGCGGTGCAAACTGCCCGTTTAGCCAGGTTCAAAAATGGATTGGACAAAGTCTTGGAGGAAAGGGGCATCAGTAGCTATTGAGCATGGGAGTTAGCCATTGAATCACAACTTCCTAGACCTTAAATGCTGGAGGCTGCAAGTGGGAGAGGGAATGGAAAAAAAAACCCTGGTCAGACCCAGCTCACTCTCCGTTTCAGCAGCCATTCTCTGCCGCTGTATGACATGACACAGGACACTGCCTAGATAGATCTGCAGCAGGGGTGAGCAAAACACAGCCCACAGCTCGGATCCAGCCACCAAAGGTTTCTATCCAGCCCATGGTGGGTACCTCAGCCCTTCCCAGCTCAGGAGTGTGGGGCAGTCAGGCATTGGTGCTTGCAGCCAGTCCCGCTGCCCCAGGTTTGTGGCAGGAAGGGGGCAGTGGGGCAGTCAGCCTCGCCATCCCAGCAGCCCCCACAGCAGTGGCTCACTCTGCCTGGCTGCCACTACCAGTCCGCTCTGCACCCATTGCTGGGAGCGCCGGATGTAGCTGGCAGGTGGGTAGGGTCTCCATGAAGACCAGCCTGGGACCCCCACAGGCAGGGCACACTCAGCAGGGTGGATGGGACGGGCCCAAGGGCAGGTGCAGAGCAGCGTCCAGGAGCGGGACAGGCAGGCAGGGGCAGGATTGTAGGGCGGCGACTGCCCAGGGCAGAGCTGCCATCTGCTCCCTGCATATCCCAGCCCATGCAGGGAGCAAATTGAGGCTCTGGGCCCTGCACTGTCACTGCCCCATGATCCTGGCCCTGGGCCTGGCCCCGGCCCCACCTGCCCATCCTGCTCCGAGACGCTGCACCCCACACACTTGTGGGCCCATCCCATCTGCACCGCCAAGCACAGACTGCCTGCAGCGGTCCTGGGCTGATCTTCATGGAGACTCCACCTGCCCTGTAAGGCACCCCCAGTGATGGGTGCAGGGTGGAATACCAGATAGGACCGATTGAACCCCTGCCACACCCCCGCGCCATGCCAGGTCAGCACCCCCCGCCCCACACCCACTGTTCAAGTCTGGGTCAGTTCCCGCCCAACCCCTCAACCCTCAACAGCTCAGCAAAACTCCCTAAGTGGGGCCCTTCAGCCCAAATAATTGCCCACCCCAGATCTACCAGAAAATGGCAATTCTTATGCTTTTATATTGTCAAGCTCACTGCACATTTGCAGAATGGCCTCAGTGGGGTGTGGGCGCACACCCCCTCACTCCACACCTGGATCCACAGCTGCATGGACAAGAAAAGACCATCTCCATTATGTTAGCATGTGCAGGCTTGATTATACGATAGAAGAGCTTTGACACTAACTAACCCAGGCTGCAAAGGGTTGGCTGCCGGGTCATGGCATGAGCCCCCTGCTCAGACCCCCATCTGTCAGCTCAGGCAAACAGCTTCCGCCACTAGCAGTCATGTGCAGGGTTAAATCTGGGCAGTGGGGCAGCCCCAGGAGGGAGGCAGCTGGCTCCGAGCACCCCGTCCCTCTCCACAGTATAACAGTATACATGCCAGTCCACAGTATAAAAAAGTTTGGGAACCAC